CACTTATGATTATTAAGAAATAATTCATCATTTCATGTTTCACAGCCATACAATTAAGCGCAGTAATTATGCACCATTAAATTTGAATTCAACTTCACTTCTCTCCTCCATTAATTTTGAAAATTAATATTAATATTTCTGCCCTGAAATTTAAATTTATTTATATAAATAACTATTCTAAAACTGCATAAGTAGTTTTTATTGTTTTTTTTTTCCTTAGTGTCACTTAGGGACCGAAATATGTTTTTTTTTATTTATTTGATGTTATCAATTATCTTTTTAAACATTAAAGGCTTAGAAATACCGTAATAAAATAAGGATGACAATAATAAACTGAACTAGATAATTGAAATACATTTATAAATTGGTTGAGAGAGAAGATTTCATTAAATATTTCAAAAAATTAGCTTAAAAATAGAATAAATTAAGATTCGGATTGTAATGTAGGAAATATGAATAATGTATGTAACATATATACTACAATACTATTACGACAGCGGAAATCACGTGAATCTGGTAACACGTAATGAGTATCTAGAACGTTCGTGAAGGCTCGAGTGTTTGCCAGACGCCCTCTATTCGTATATATAAGACCAGCGAGAAGTGACAGCAGAGATAAAGATAATTGCAGACAGGCAGAGATAGAGACGGATAATTGAGTCAAGCGCGGTAGTGACCGTAAGTAAAGTGCATGAATCGTCGTGAATTATAGCGTGTGTAGAAGTTAAAGTGATTGTAGAAATTAAGTGTATTGCAAAGTTGTATTGAGAAAGAATAAACTAGTTTTATTTAAGAAAGGACTTGTATTGCTGAAGTTCCTCGGGAAGAATTTTTACGGAAATTATCAAACAAACAGAGACGTAACAATACAATAGTTTCTATCAATTCCCTTTTTTAGGACCCAAGCTATGTAATTAATTGTGTTTTATATGTTATGTAACATATGTAGGCTAATATACATTTTGAAAATGAAAACAAAAACTTGTATACATGCACACATTTTAGATAAAAGTTAACATTTTTTTTCTCTGAAAATGTTATTCTGATAGGTACTTAGCTATCTCAATCCTGGTCTGCCCTCTAAGCTTTACTGAAGAAAGTTTGCTACAGTGCACCAGTCTTTATACCCCATCAGTTTTGTGCTATTTCAGAACATGTGCTCATCATGTGATTACTCTCCACCAATCATATTGCACCATCTATACTGGTGCATCTAGCTCTCTCTATTATTCTAGAACAATTCTCACTTTTGAGAATTGGTAGTCACAAACACCGGCATCTCTACCCTTGTGGCACAATCCTCACTTTCGAGAATTGGCATATACAAACCTTAAACACTGGCATGTCATTGGGGAGGAAGGGTGGGAAATGGGTTAGATGAGGTAAGTACCTATTGGAAATACATTTTGAGAGTAAGAAAATGTTAACTTCTGAAATGATGCTACTTCCTCTCACCCAAAGCTAGAATCCCACACTGCCAAGGTAAAGGGGCCGGTGAAAGTGCATCAAGCAGAAAGAAACCACACTGAAAAATGGGTGTGATAGAATATGAAAAGAAAGCACATCAGTTGGGTACATCACTACTTCTGGAACACAAATGGGGCAGAACTGAATTGACGGACACCAATGAAATCAATAAAGAGATTTATAGCACTGAATCAGTGTAGGAAGTGATGGATAATCGTGAGGGTTATAATAACTAGCCCTCTGTCCACATCCATGTCATAACAATCCATTGTAAGAAACAAGATATATTACCTAATATAATGATAGTGAGTCATACTATGATGCCAGTAAATGAACTAAATAGAAAAACGAAATAACAATACATGCCTAAGGCATAAGGACCGTGAAATATATTTGAATAGGCAAAGTGTGGCCTGTCCAGGCAAAAACATCGAATGGAAACACCTTGCATAAGATATAGATATAAACAAGTGAGGTCCACCCAGGAAACACCTAGGGGGAAAGCACCTTGGACACATAGAATTAGTGCTGTCTGCCTGGGCAAAAACATCTGGGGAAGCACCATGGATACTGAATATTATGGCCCGGCATGGCCAGGTGGTTAGGGCGCTCAACTCGCAATCTGAGGGTCGCGGGTTCGAATCCCCGTCCCACCAAACATGTTCGCCCTTTCAGCCGTGGGAGCATTATAATGTGATGGTCAGTCCCACTATTCGTTGGTAAAAGAGTAGCCCAAGAGTTGGTGGTGGGTGGTGATGACTAGCTGCCTTCCCTCTAGTCTTACACTGCTAAATTAGGGATGGCTAGCTTAGATAGTCCTCGTGTAGCTTTGCGCGAAATTCAAAAACAAACAAACTGAATATTATTGTATAATTCATTGTTCAACACTGTAATGATTATAAAAACTATAGCCATCTTCTCGACGAATGAGTAAACATGGGATAGAAAGTTTTGTCCACTAGAATAGAAGGGGGGATATGCACTGGAGAGTCTGGATGAACAACACATTAAAGACAGTGCAATGGGTGTCTGTGATTCCCCATTTTGAAAAGCAGACAGTCCCTGGTTGTAGAAACCACGGGTCATTAGGGATGGGCAGAAATCCCCATCTGATTTACTCATGAGGTCCATGAGTGACAGTCATTTATAAATGAAACTAGTAACTTTTAGTAAAAAAAAATTAGATACACATACCACTGGACAAGCTGCTGCTGGTTTTACAGAAACACCAATCTCAACAGTGAGCATTGTAAATTTATTCATATCTAGTGCAAATATAATATGAAGCATACCTGACCAAGCAGCACCTGCCACCAGGTTGGATCCTGAAATACAATATTTATCAACTAGAAATATATAGAGGAAGTAATATGTCGAATTACCCCAGTCAAAGGTGAACAGACGTGTGTAGAATTGCCACAGGAAGAAGACAATACCTGCCCAAGAAAGACACAGTCACGTCTTGCAGATAATGTGCAAATGTGTTTAAAGTTGTCCACACCCCAGCCTGAATGATCTTCTCCAAAGGCCAATGAAGGCGAGCAGCAAAAAACACTGTTAGATGACGAAATTGGTGCAAAGAAGCATTGTGCAGATGCCAACCTTCCATGGATAAGTCAGAATATGCCAGTCGTATGAGTTAAAGAACCCAACTAGTGAGTGTAATAGGGGACATATCATGGGACACAGAGGGAATTATTGGAAAAAATAAAAGGCAGTATGAGCCACATAACATCTCAGGGAATGAACTGCACAAAGAAGTCTACCTGAATCTGAATGGGAGTAGAGGTGGGAAGTGGAAGGTAAGGAAACAGGAGAGAAGGCCAAACCACCTGTCTAGGAAAGGAAGGCCCAATCAGGATAAAGGATAACATAAGAGGAATAGTAAAAGATGCAGGAAACGAATGACATAAATCTCGGAACAATGACGACTGCAAGCAAGGAGGAACGACTTAAGGGAAAGATGGTACAAGGAACAAGTAGAAATTGGTTCAAATGGAGAACTGGAAATGGCATGAAGGATAAAATTGAGATCCAATATGGAAAAACAAGGGACATAGAGGACGGATAAGGCAAAAGGAACAAAAAAGGAGGAAAATAATGGGAGAATTGGAAGATGTTCGACAGGGTAGCCATATAACTAGAAACAGTTGACACAGACCAACCATAATCAAACAACTAGGTAAAGAACCGGGAAAATTAAGGTACTGAATGACAGGAGGGGCAGAAGCCACAGCAAACAGACTAAGGTCTGAAGGTAGAATGCTTCTGCTACACAGACAAGGAGGAAGGTCGAATGGAATGGGAAAGGAAAGATGCTACATGAGAGGCCAGTCCCTGAGCTGAGACAAAGGACCGAACAAAAGCCACATGTGAAGATGGAGTTTGATGAGATTGGAATGAACTACATCCAGTTGCAGTTGTTGGAGAAGAAACTGGGACAGAGGTAAGGGCAGGGGATGTTGCTCCAATAAGAGCTAGAGCAGAGGGAATCATGCCTGAGAAGGCCAATATAGGACACAACAAGAAGTTGTCTGGATAAGGGAAAAGACTCTGGAGAGGAGTCTGACTGAACACATCTTCTCCCAGAACTGAAGGATGTGGAACCAGAGACCAAAAGGAAGTAATTTTGGCATTCCAGTGAGTGACATACACATCTATAAATGCAGTATTCCCAGTAGAGAACACACCCACCAAAATACCCATGGTAGAATGGACCACTCCATGTCATAATGCCAATGGATCATGGGAGAAGTTTCATTGGTTGAGAAGCATCCACAGAAGGAAATGCATGTGAGCTCAACCCAAGGGAATAAAAGCTTCAATGGAAGCCCACATTCCCAAAAGTGAGAGAGATCCTTGCATAGTAAGAAAAGGAGAAGGTAGGGCCATTTAGACTGCCCACTTCATATCCGCAAGCCAAAGTGGAGAAGACTTGGTTTGGCTAAGATGGGAAATGAAGAAAAACTCCCTGCAAACTAAAGCCTGTAATTCCCCAACAGATATCGTCGACCCTAGGACAAGAGGCCTAATGACAGAACCATTGTCAGCTGTCACAGGAATTTCAGCATCCACCATATCAAATCTCGAATTCAGATGAACAAATTTGAATTCGGAAAACAGAAATATTTCAAAAATAAAGGAGCAGAAAAAAATCATACAAGTTTGTGATTCAAGCATGATTAAAATTTTGTAGTCACATGGTGGGCGAGTTAAAACACATGTCTACACACTAAAATGTCAGTCATGAAAGTGATGATTGTTCTAAATAGTAGAGGGAGCTAGCTGCACTAGTATAGATGGTGCAATACGATTGGTGGACAGTAGTCACATGATCACCACGTGTTCTGAAATGGTACAAAACTGATGGGGTATAAATACTGGTGTACTGTAGTGAAATATCTTTAGCAATGCTTAAAGGGCAGACCAGGATTGAGATAGCTTTGGGTTGGAGGTGGTACCATTTTGGAAAAAAAAATGATTGATAATGTTCTTGAAAGTAGCAAGATTTGTGAACTGTTTTAAACACCAAACACAGCAGCAGAAAAATATTTATCAAACAAGTTAAAAATCATGTATGATTTTAACATTTTAAAACTATGGTATGTTTTACAGCCAAAGCAATTTTCCTACATATAATGCATATGTTAAGATTCACAACCATTTAGAACTATTTTAAAAACAATAATAATATCAAACACAGTCATTCAAATTCTTTAAGTCCTGAGCTAATTGTAATGTATGGGTAATAAACAAATTACACTTCCTGTAAGTCGTCTTTTAATTGTACAACAGTATATCTTGGCTAAATATGAAACCCAAAATTTTCTCTTGAAAAAAACAATTCAGAGATGAGGAATTTTTTTACAATCTTTTACTTATCAATCCTTTTTGATCACTCATATCAATCACAAAATCGTGTGGCTCTTCTACTTGTGATGAGTTTTCTCGTTCATCATTTACTCCAGTGCACAAACTCGCTTGGACACCAGTATTTTGTTTTTTCATCTCAAACTGTTCCTCTTTGAAATTCTCAGGTTGAATCTGGTTAAGGAAATATCCATCTTCGACACTTGCAGTATCTGCATTCTCTGTTTGACTGATGAAGCTATCTACAGTTTTTGTGTTGCCATTTTTCATGTTAACTTCTTCATCTTTTATTGGCTTTTCTATGCCAAATACGGCAAAAACATTGGGTGGTTTTATATCAGAATTAGGATTTATTTTACCCAAAAACGTCTTTGTCAGTGAACTATAGGCATGATATTCTTTATTCTCAACCCATGGAGGAAATTCTTGTTGTTTCTGTACACAGCTTCTATCAGTACAGTTTTCTTCCCGTTTCCATGGCAAAGTTGTTTCAGTTAATGTAAGAGGTCGAAATTCCTTTGTTGGATGAGAGATTCTGTTGAAATCTAAAAAGGGGGGAAAAAAGAGCAGTTTATTTTGTAAATTAGGAAAGATCATGTTGAACTTGATTAAAGCAACACAGTTATTAAGAAAATGTACTACATTTTTTAAAAATCTACATTAAGAATAGCATTGAATAAAAATATGTTTTTGGAAATATTTATAAATTTTTATACTATATAACTTATTTTGAAAGTATTTTAAGATTATATACGATTTATCTAATTGCTCTGCAAACCATTAAAAATGCACAAAATGTGTTTACGATAAAGAAACAAATGTTAAAAAATAATTGACTCGTACATGACAGTACCATAAATTATAAAGCTTTCAGTTGATTAAAACACTAAACCGATGAAAATTTTTATTAGCCTAATGAGCATATGCAGCAGAAACTCAATTTTGTTTTTTTAGCATCTTCTGAGTAATCTTATGTAATATTGTTAAACTAGTGTATAACAATGGTGAACTAAAAAAGGTTTATAGTTTCAGATATTTCATTGTAATATTTTTACATCAGCAACCAAATATTTGACACAACAAAAGTCAAAAAGAGAAGTTTTCTAAATAATTAGTACATTTTCATTAAATATTTCTGGTTGGACATTACATTTTGAAATACATTGTATAAAAACCAAACAAAATATTGTCATCGACAAGTTAATTAGACAAACTGATTATTTTCAAGGAAATTATTTCCAGCTTTGCCAATTTTGTAAACTTAGAAACTTCTGTGAGGAACGATATGCTTTTTTTGAGACAGCAACGATTTTCGTATTAGCTTACCAGAACTTAAAATATCTACATCACTTTCAGACAAAGGTGTTGGAGCAGTAAAAGTAATTCCTTCATCATCTTGAGTAAACACAACATTTGAATACGAGTGATTCTCATTTTTAGGAGAGCCATCCTCCACTTCTGAGATCTCAGATATACTGGTTGGAAGATTGAATCTTAATATTGCAGCCTTATGGGGCTTTAAGTCTGAAAAAAAAAAAGGAATGTAAGGTATACAAATATTGACGTTAATTTTTTTGTAAAATCTAAAACTGTGTGCAGTAAGGAGGTGTTTTAAACAGGTTTAGTAAATTTAATACTCACAACTTGTTCCGTATATTTTAGATAGTTTGATACAAGAACAAAATAATGCAATATGAAAACAAAACATACAAATATTTTCTCTCAAGAGCTTTTAATATTAATAATTTTAATATTCTTTTACATTATATGAAAAAATAAAGTGTCAGAAGTATCAAATAACAGTTTCAGTAAATCACTATAACTATATCACTATTAATTACCTGTATTGATTTTTCCTTGGCTACCCTTTTTATGAGACTTAAGTTCTTTTCCATTATAAAAGTGACCATTCATAATGTGTTTATGGTGATTTCCTTTCCGTTTCTTCCTATTTTTATCATTAAGTACACGACGGATTTGCATGCGAGTCTTGTGGTGGAAAGGAGGATGTGGAGCAGTTTCATCAATCATATCACGACTATACCGACGGACCTAGAATAACATTAGTTTATTTATTTGCTATTTGAAAATTCAAGAATTTTTCTCCAAACTTAAAACATGGCTACTAAAGACATATAACACATGTAAAAATACCTTTGAGCATTTTAACTTAGATTTTTCGATTTACATTGATGAAAAGAAAAACACTACTACCTAAAATTTTTACAGAACAATAAAAGATTACTAAGAATGCACATTATTCTATCTCATATAATACTATTCAAACTTATACTGCACCAACTTTAAGAAACTAGGAAAAGTGGTAGCAGTATAGTAATTTTTTTGTAGGTAATGATCAATACTTTTATATGACCATTACTCACATTATCTTAAAAGACAGTAGTTGTTGTTTGGTGCATTTAAAAAAGAGCAAGTTCTTCTTAACCTACTATTGCCACAGAAGTTAGAAAAATATGAATTTAAAAAACTAAGTCAGTATTTGTATGATGGATAGATTAGGGATAAAATTATTGGCATATATTTTGCAAGTAGCTAGTGTATAACTACCAAACTATTAATGATATGGAAATACATTTTTCTCTCAAGTCAAAATCATAACACACTGTTACGACAGGGGGTTCACGTGACGAGTATTCTAGAAGATTCGCTAGTGTGTTACGATAGCGGGGGTCACGTGACGACAGCGGAAGTCAAGTGACGCCGGTAGCATGTGTTGAGAGTTTTTAGAAGTTTCTAGAACAGACAGTATTATCGTATGTAAGTGCGCTAGACAGTGAGAGAGACAGA